GCAGGCAGCGCTGTGCCCCCGCCGCCGCCGCCACCGCCTCCGCGGAGGCCTGAGTAAGCCCGCTTAGTGTTCTTCGGCCCTTCTGGAGGCATCCGAGGGCCGCCCTGCTATTCTTCTTCTGCCACCTCTGTGGCTCGCACCTCTACAGGAGTTGGCTTCGGTACCGTCTCCTACGTCGAGTTGGATGCCTCCGCGGCAGTTATTTCTGGACTCCTGATCAGTTTGACTTTCAAGTATTGTGTGGTGTCATACGAAAGCGGTGATCCCGTCGGGTCCACATTCTCCAGATGCTGCGTTACATGGAGGGCCGCGGAGGCTCAACCATTGGGCGAAGCCTCCATGACGGAAATTCCTGAAGATGATGTTCGTGATCTTGCGCCTGCTCACGCTGCTGTGCATGTAGTGAGCACCAGCAGCCATAGGTCTCCTAACATGCCTCATGCCCGTTCGGTCCGCAGTACTGCTCGCGCCTCCTGATCGGTCCCCCTGCAGGCCTGGGTCGTTTCCGCCGCCTCTCCGTCGTCTCACCCCCCCCCCAAACGCGCTCCCGCTTGCCTCGCCGCCCTCTAGGTGACGCGGGATGAGCCACATGGGCCCGCGAAGCGTCCCCTTCTCTTCCGGAATGTCCTCCTCGCAGCCCTGGCAGGGCCGAAAAAGAGTTGCTCGCCCGCCCTTTCTCCAGAGCCCACGCGAGGCTCGTTAGGAGAAGATCGTCGCTGGCTACTTCAGGGCCACTGCGACAATGCGTTCCCTGAAGAGTGGAGGCATCACCGCTTGCGCGGCCGCTCGTGCGGCAGGACTCGTACGTGGGAGCTGCTCGACACGGTTACTTGCCGCCGGAGGAACGCCCTATTTTGACTGCTTGCGCGAGTTCTCCTTCTGATGCCCCTTCTCAGTCTCTTCTGATGGGCCAGGGGGCCCATGCGAGCCAGGACGATCTTTAATCCGTCCTCCCACCAGCATGCAAGATTCGTCAAGAGTAAGCTTGGCCAGTGATGCGCGCCAGCAGCGGGGTACTTTCACTGCGTCAAAAGCATGCCTATCTCGCCCCCAGCAATCTCTTGTTGTGGCAATTGTACCCGCGAGGGCAGATGACGCGGAAGTCGCCTAGTCAAAGAGGGCAGGAGCTTCATGTGTGGGGTTGCCGGATTATGTGGTTTGCGCGCAGGTCTGCTGCTTACCCTAACGTCTTCCCAGACGTTCAGAAAAGCAGAGCTTCTGAAGTTTCGTTCCTTCTCCCTGCTGGTGTGGGCTCGGTTTTTTGACTGCAGGCCTATCCAGGCTCTCGTCGTGGGTCGCCTGCATTGGGTCTCCCCTGACGTCGGTTTCATGACGCCCTGCGTTCAATTTTGTGCAGTGCCTAAACTTGGTTCTGTGCGCATGGTTCCCGTCCTGAATTGGACTTCTGCGGAGCGGTGTTCTCCCAGGCGTTGCAGTTCCCTCTCTGTGGGCTGGCCCCATTCGCCTTGCTGGCGCTTCGTTCTTCTCTCTCCCTTGCCGATTGTCTCTTCGTATTCTTTGCCCGTCCTGGGGGCGTGCTCTCGCTGTCTTGTGAGGGTACGTTTTGAGCTCATGTGCCTTGGCACCTCGCGGTAAGAGGTGCCTACCTGTAGTACCATCCCCTCTGGCAGCGTGCCCAAACCTGTGTACCAAACCTGTGTATCCAATTCGGGGCTTTCAGCCCAGTCCCTTTCCCCTGGGATCTCGCCCTCCCCCCCTCCCCCCCGGTGCAGCGCTCGACTAGCCGCTCAGGCGAGTGTCACTGCCGATTTTGCAGTACGCGTTGCTGAACCCTTGAATTCCAGCTTCTTTTGGAATGTGCGTGTCTTCGGTTAGGGGCTGGCCTTCACTGCTCTCTTGCTGGGTCGCCTCCATTCGTGTCTTCAAATGTTTTTTTTCTGTTCCCGGGTAGTTTCTGGTGTCTGCGCAAGTGGTGGGCCCCGTGCGGTCTCAAACGCCATCCACCGCGCTCTTTCACAAGGATGTCCCAGAGCACCGCGTTCAGCGCATACCATCGTCCGACGATGACGACGACGTGCCTCCTCTTGCTCCCCTCCCTCCTTCTTCTCTCGCCCCTCCTCGTCGTCTCACATGCTTGGTTGTTGCCGCGATGGCTGGATTCGCTGCCAGGATCTCCATATCTCCCTTCTTGTAGGAGTGCTGTGCACCTTGATTGCGGCCCTGCGTTCATCTCTGGCTCCCTCTTGCTTCTACGCCTGAGGCTTGTTTCTCCTCCGCTTCCACCGTTCCTCCTCCCATCACCTCCCCCCTCACCCCTCGCCAGCGTTCCCCTTGACCTTGTTTCCCTCGGTGGTGCGCCGTCGCAGATGAAATCCTGGTCGGGCAGGGGGGTGGACCGCAAGCTTCGTTTGGCTATTTTTCGCCAGGTCGCCTGGAGCCCTGGAGAACCTCGGGGGAGACGCATGATGAAAGTAATCGAGTGCCGAGTGCAAAGAAGGTCTCCTTCTCTCTCCCCCTCGGTGGCGAACGGCGCTGCCGCAGGCTAGTCTGTGAGTTTTTTTTTTTTTTTTTTTTTTTTTTTTTTTTTTTTTTTTTTTTTTTTTTTTTTTTTTTTTTTTTTTTTTTTTTTTTTTTTTTTTTTTTTTATGTAGTTGCGTGTTAGTTCCAGCCTCCAAGGCATTACACCTGGCTGCGAATGGCTGCGACCCCCCACCTCCTGGGACGGTGCCCCAAGCTGGTGACGGTGCGTCGGTCGCCGAATTGTTTGCGTGACGTTCAGACCTACACTGTTGTAGGGTCATGGGCCTCCCCCTTTCCTTGTCGGACGAAAGGGGAAGGGCCAGGAGGGTGATGTGACGAAATCGGCTGCGTGCGGCCGGTTTCGGCGCCCCCGCCCAGACACCTTCCTTGATTCATGGCCGCCCCCATCGCCGCAGGTGCTTGGAAAACCAGCCACACGACACTGATGCGCTGACCCTCCTTCTCCTGTCCCGTCCAATCAGGCCTCTCTAGGCGCTTCGCTAGCGTGTCGATGGGCAGTTGATGCTGCGCGGCTGCCGAGTCACGGAGGCGTCTGAGGCTGGCCCGTCTGCCCGGTTTTGCGCGGCGCCTGCCCTTTTAATTCCATTTTCGGCCAGACCCAGCTTCAGCTTCATTGAAATTTCATTCCCATTTCAATTCTCCAGAAAATTCATGGCAGAGGTCTCTCGCCAGACCCCTTTCTTTAGCGACGCCTGCAGTTTCAGCACGGCGTGGTTCGTCACTGCTGCAGGCTCGTTCGCTTCAAGCTGATTTGTGAGTTCGCTGCCCCCCCGCCTTGGATGGCGCCTCGTCTTGTCTTCGCAGGCCTAGAGGTTGACACCAACACCAAGATCGGCGGTGTGCCTCCACCGAGGGAAGACGATCAGGATCTCAGTGATGGTGGTAATATTCTGGTTTCCAAGGTGATCGAAATATTACCACCAACACCGAAATCTAGGATCATCTTCTCAATGTGGAGGCAGCCCCCTGTGCTGGTGTTGGTGTCAATTTCCAAGCCTCCAATGTCTCCCGTGGCATCTTGGGCACCGTGCTTCTGGTGGAGGCACTCCGCAGGGCTACGGCCAGTGCGCGTACGGGCAGCGGCCCTCCACCCGCTTCACACTCCTGAGCTTCTGCTACATCCCCGTGGCCGGCGCGCGGCTGCCGCAGGCAACAGCGCTGCTGCTCTTGCTGCTCTCCACCTTCGTTCTTGTACTGTTAAGTCGGGCCTGTCCTCCACAGGGGGATTTTCGACGACAAATAATACATACCCCTTATTTTTTTGAGTACTTTTTACCTTTTTGGGGTATTTTTAGAGTATTTTTTCATTTTTCGTCGACAATCCCCCTGTAGGGGGGGGCACGCCCGACATAATCTTCCTGCCTCTTCTTCGTGTCTGCCGTGCTGCCGGCGCCGCCAGGGCGGCCGCGGGCTGCGGGAGGGCGGGCGATGGTGGAGCCGCGACGGCAGCGGAGATGGTCGTGGACGAGCTCGGGGCAGCGGGCGGCGAGGCGGTGAGCGTCGTGGCCCCGGCTCCGCCGCCAGCGCGCGGCGAGCGGGCCGACGAGCAGCGCCGCTCGCGCGGCCTCGCGCGCGCCACGGGCCAGGGATGGGGGCGAGGACCACGGCAGGACGAGCTCGGGTCTGCCCGCGCGCCGCGGGGCGGCGGGGGTTCGCGCGCGGAGCCCGCGGCGGCAGGCGCGGGGCAGGCCGCGGGGGCCACTGCGGCGGTGGGGGCGACGCGCAGGGTCGAGCTCCCCTG